AATTGAAAAATAAGCGGATTTTTCGGAAGTAGGTTTTGTTAATGCTTGTTCATACTTATCGTTCTCGCCTTCAGTAGAGTCATTCCTATATGCCTATTTAATTTCGTGCTGCCATCATATGCCAATTTAGAACTAAACTTTTGCTCGCATAAAATGCGTTGATGGTATTTTAAAAGAATTTTTATACTGATATACACTTGACTACACAAAAAAATAAATATAACCATCCACAAGTAATCAATAGAAGCGGCGGTGGTGGGAAAGGCAACAAAATGTCAATAACGATGCTGGGATATAAAGAACAGAAATAAATCACATCGTACCGTGAAAAAGTCGAAAGCGGCATAGTCATAAAGACAAGTATCAAAGGAAGGCACGAAGGGTAGAATCCAGTAGCAATGGATGTCCTCTTGTGCCTTGATTTGTAAAGAAAAATGTTCACGCCTTTATGGCTGAATAAATTTCTATACATATAAAGTCGCGTGCGTTTGCTACAAGCCTCCAATAATTTGAGCAAAAATGTTAGTGTACTCAATTTGTACACCACCCCAACGCACCGAAAGTAACACAGCACGTACATGAGTCAAAAGTAGAGTCTGCGAAAACAAGAAAAGTCATCAGCTAAATCACTGAACATTAACCAAAAATTGTCGAAAGGAAGCAGCTGACGTTAGAAAATTATGAGATATGTAAATTACGTATATTTTTCTAAGGAGGGCGAGAGCTTAACCAAATGCCTGGAATGTTTCTAATATGGCGAACCGAAACTAATATGTGTAAATTAGGAACATATATATAACATCTGCTAGCACAAGCTAATTTGAGTTAAAGTCGCGTGATGATTTCTGGCGAAAAATCTTAAATCTTAAGTCTCTCTGAAAGAAAAATATGAATTTTCATGTATTTAATCAACCTTCGAAACTATTTTTTTTTTGGTTGGCCTCTCAACTTTGCAGTCGCCAAGCGATTAAAACCAACAGCCGCAAAAGAGGAGTAAAAATCTGCGTTGACATCAAGAAGGGAAACTAGGGATTTGGTTAAGGCAAAAGCAATTGGGACAGGGATGACAGACAGGAAAATAAAAAGCCCAAAAACATGTCTTCTGACAGCTGCCGAAACTTTTACATGACATATATCATTGTCGCATAACAAATGAGCGACAGCAGCAGCAACAAAAACAAAAACAGCAGCAGAAGCATTGACAACAAGGAGTTAACGCTCTGCCGAAAGTTTCAGCCACCGACACACACTGGAAGACAGCAAAGACAGGCGCACCGTTTTGTGTCCACCCTTGTGTGGAAGCCCTTGTATATTGGTAAACTTCAGTAGCTCAAAGTATACCAATATTTTAAATGTTGCTTACCAGACGATTTTCTAAAAAAACCAGTTAAGAGAAAGTATTTAGGATGCAGGCGGTCCTTAAAAAAAATCATCTTTTGACTTTAGCTCCTTATCTGTGTCTCATACAGATTTTCTAATATACAAAAAAGTTATTTTTAATGCTGTGAAAGATAAAAATGTTTGTCATCGGTTTGTTTAGGTGGGCACGGCAAAAAATGCTATTTTTTATTTTATTTTGTAATAATAATAATAATTTTTTTTTTTGGTTATCTATTAGAAACTAAAGGACATTGTGAATCCTTGTGGACATAACCCTAAAGGAAATAAAGTAACAAGAAAGAAAAGTTGTCTTTGGAGACGATTTAGTACACGGAAAATTTAATACACCATACAGAAACATTTTCCCAGAAAAAAACTAGATTGCAAAACCAACATTTGTGCCTGTCAAAATACTGAACCTTGTAATGCAGACTGCAACAGTCAATGACCGACCTAAATGGGTTTGCTATACTAAAGGCTCACTTGGCTCATAAAACCATGCGTAATTGACGACAGTTGGGCGTCTTAAAGCTGCCAGACGTGCCAAATGAGAGAGCGTAAAATTAACAATTTCTTAAGTACTATAAGGAAAGCAGTCAAAACAGAGCGTATTGAACCCAAATTACAATACCCATTACTATGTGGTCACTCTGTACCATATTGAAATATAAGTCCTCACAAATCTTATAGAGCCGCGGCAGTACTACGCGTTCGACTTAGAATGACTTTTTTATATTAATGATACACAAAACAATGACTTAGATAAGTAAGAAAACAATTACAACAATGGCAAAATGCTATCTAAATAGCACTCAACGCAAACTTTAAAAATCGTAATCAATTGCCACTATTAAAATTTTTAACTACAAGTATTTCCCTAGTTTTTAAAAGGTAATCAGTTGCTATTAATGTAAATATTGGATATTAAGGACAATAGTATTATAAATTTTATAACTATGCACAGAGTGTGTCAAGTTTTAAGTGACGTAAATGTTCTTCTCTCCACTGGTCTCTCTTTCACTCCCCGGTACTTGATATTAAGCACTTTGTCATTTGTGTGTCAAAGCATGCCAGCGTGAAATGGCGATGAGACAAACACAACACAACAAACCTGAAATGGTGCTGGCAAAATTATAACGTATAAACAAATTCCAAACTGAGTGAGTGCTTCACTGACAAGCTGACGGCTACGCATGCAGAAATGGGAAGTGAAGAGTCGCTGTGGTAGAAGCGTTTAAGTAACTTGCAATGTCTAATGCGCCATGGTATATTTGATGTGAAGCACAACCTGTCAGCAATGCTGAGAACCAGTTGCAACTTGCCGCAGGGCTTTAGCAGCTCTTTTGGCCAGCAGCGCATCAATAGCAACAACAAGCAACCCCCTCAAATGTCGATCCTAACGTGGTACTTCTTAAAACCACACGCAAACTGTCTTTGCTGCAATAGCGTTTGATCGTTCCCCTTCTTCTTAGACAGGGAAGCATAACACGTTATGAAGGTAATGTATATAAAACGACAGTTGAGTTGTTGTTCACGTCACACTTTTACTATCTTAAATGTAGTGGTAAAAGTTGATGAAAGGGAGAGTCATAATTAAATTTTGGTTTAATACTTTTGTTTTCATCGTGACGTACACGGTATTTTTCAATAACGATCTCAATTAAATAAGCAATGTAAAATGCTATAGATACATAATACTAATAGTTTAATTTGCGTGTGTATTCCGCCTATATATAAACTTTCATATTTACACCACTTTCATTGCAAGTATATACTGTTGATGTCTTGTTCTTTCACTTCGCTGCGGCATTGACCAACTTTAGTCCACCTAAATTGAATCAAGTGTTTATCACTGGCCCAAGTTTTCTTGCACATATACATAACAATATCTTATCAGGAGAGCTAAGTGCAAACTTTGTTATGTCAACGCGTTGGTAGCTTCACTTTATATGTGGATATTGTGTTGTTTGCTATTTTCGTTTTCGTTAAGTTGCTTTCCATTGTTTATTTTGACTTGCCGTTAACACATAATATTTTTATAGTTGCTCAACAAACTTAACTGATATCAATTAATTAGCGAAAAAAGCGAAAGTGCTCCTCAACGATGCGATGCAACATCATACTGGTACGCATTAAGAGTAAGGGGGTAGAGAGTCCAAAGATGATAGCATTAAATATTAAATTCCAATGACTGAAGATACGTAAGGCATTAAACATTTATGGGAGTTTTGCCCAGCTTAGGTTAGGCTAGCTCATTTGAAATGCAACCGAAAATTGATGTCGCAGCGTGTCGCAGCGCATTAGGTAATGGCCACCGTTGTAAGGACCGCTTGCCACACTTAATAGGGGAGAATACCAAGCAATTCATACTCATTCCAAACTCCCAACACGCGCGCACCCACTCGCAAAATATTCATGTGGTCTAGAGTCACGTCAGAGCTGCTTTTTATGATGTTGCAGCCAAAAATAATGGGGCATATATGCAAGTAAAATCATTTTGGCTGAATGCTTATAATCGCTTATGTACGTTGATTATACTGTTTTAGGCCTGACTCTTGTCCTTTTCATTACACAGCACCGTGCTCGTGTCAATCAGCATATTTTCCAATTTTTTTAAAAAAAGGCATCTAACGAAAAATTTCGACACTCAGCCATACATGGAAAATTTAGCAACTGCCAAGACCACGTCAATTTTTTGTTGTCCTGATGCCTTTCTTTTTAACATCGCAAAGTATTTTTTAAGTAATTGAACAAATCTTATGCAAATCACATTAAATTCTTCATAACAACAACATCGATAGCAACTAAAATTGGCGGTGCAATGTGGAAAAAAACTTTTAACACAGCCTGCACTTTCATGTGGGAATAGAAAATTTAGGTTGTGCGTTATGTGCGCCTTTTAAGTACTGTCTTGGCAGGCTTCAGACATAAATTATTTGCCGGTTAAAGACTACCTTGCGTCAGATCTATTAAAAAGTAAAAATTCCCTTAAAGCACATACAGCATAAGAATGAAATACCTCATAAGCATTCAAAGTAAAGCTGTTTATAATTGCTCCTTGAGCATCTGCTTGCCATTTGTTTAAGCAATACAATTGTACTTCAACAAACCGTGTTCTCTCCTCACGGCGAAAGGAAAAGCTGGCAAAAAGAAAACTAAGCCGCGCTGCGACGTGTCATTTGCAGGGTTACAGTCGCTAGTTTGACGAAAATTGAATTTTGAGACATGCTTTAAGCAAAGAAACAACATACAAAAAGAAAATTGTAATTGAAAGGCACAGCCAACAATTATAGCAATTTTTCAACAGCAACCATAAAAATGAGCTATGCACAAGCCCACGACCGCCAGCCAAGCAACAACAGTTACCACACCGAAAAATGGCTACGCAGCAACAAAATGGCGGCTGTATAAACAGAAATCGAGTTGAGAACGGCTTGCACAACAACGGGCGATGGCGCAAAGGCGACGAACGAACGTCAAAATAAACAACTGCACGACACGAGCCGTTAATATGTTTCCGCGAGAGTGTATACGTGCGCTGTTTAGTGCCCCTACTCTACTCATATCTCTCTGTTACTCTCTATGTAGCTGCATCGCTCCATAAAGTGTCCTTGTTTTCCTTTTTTTTAACTTTACGTAAATTGCGCGCTTTTTATTATGCTACACTCTTGCTGAATCTCTCCCCATTTTCCCACCATACTCAACTCAAAAAATTACCCATAAGTGGTTTCCTTTTGCGATTGATCGCACAAAAAATGCTTGTGTACATTTCATTCAGATCAGTTCCAAATGACAGCGAATTCAAATATAATGCTCTGAAGTTTTTCTTTATATAAGAGTCGCTCTTACTTTGCCTATTATAGTACATTCTTCGAAACCATGACTTCACCATTGTATCCCTACAACTCTCTACATTACATCCTCGCCACTTCCTGGAATTTCGCCTGCAATCTATCTAATTTTCGTGCGTTTTCTCTCTTTCTCGTATTGTTTCTCTCTGCTACATTCTTTTTTCACCTCACGACTTTCCTACCTTTTCAATCGCCGATCGTCCTTTAGGGAGTGCAAATGAATGTTTGCATGACAAACGGGTTAATTTCAACTTGTTGCAGAATCAGCGTATACACGGCAGCAACATCGACTACCAACAGCACAAACAGGATTTTTATAGGCAGAATAACTGCTGTCGGATGATGATGCAACCACAAGAGTTACAGGCACGCCTGTTAGCTAGTTATGACGTGGGCGGTTTGTCGACGCTAATAGCAAACATTGTAGAATCCATTCCCTGTAGATATATACTTTATATTTAGTTCTTTTTTGGAAGTATTTGTAGATTTTTTTATGATTTTATACAGCTTCGAAAAACAGAATATGACAAGGCCCGATTCTGGGCAGTCGAGAATAATGTAATATAGTCAAACGGTGGCTGACTAACCATATTATATAGTCGAGGGGAGTTGACAAAACATAAGATATAAAATAATTTAAATTCGCATAATTCGCCCAGAATTCATCATTACCAATAATGAACTGCAAGTCTAAAATGCATAGAGCTTGACGGACGCTGACTACTAGTTAAGCTCAGATGGTTAGTGCAAGTAAAAATGAATATTATACTGAAGTCATTTATGTTTGGAATCTTTAGCATTTTGCGGATTGCTTAGCGTATCCAAATGCATTACTTTCAAAGAAAGCATGTACCACGCTGCAAGCTTGTTTGAATTGTGTTTTCATTAGCTAAACACAAATTGAAGCGACACGTTTTCTTGGGTCGAACCAGACAACAAAAGGAATAATGCCGAGCTATAAGAGTTGCATGTCTTAAAAACATAACACTTAAAACAAACATAAAAAGGCAACGTAAACGTATGTGGCAGAGAGTGAGAAAAATCAATATTAACTACTGTTTAAACATGGCTTACAAAAAATATAAACTGTCTATTGTTGTCCACAAACAGTGCCTGGCGGCACCGAAGACTATTCAACAATCGATCTGCATTCCTCAGAAAAAAAAATATCTACAACTACAGAACCTTGAGCCAAAAGCAGATATTTAATAAATTCAATTGCAACAGCTGTTACGAATTACCTACCTTTAGCTTTCACTTTTCTAACTGACAAAAAATTATCAGTATCCATTTTCACTTGCATCTACAAAATATTAGATCACTCACAGAAACATTATCTTTAAAACTCAAAATATAATTGAAATAAATTCTGAAAAATAAAATTTTTCATCCAATATGTGCAAAAGAAATTCACAGAAACCGAATAAGGTATTAATATTGTTCCTCTTTGCATTTGCTATTGTTCTGAAATTGGCCATAATTATTCTGGAATTCGTAGTTTGAACTTACCCGAACAAACTGACAAATATAAAATATGGAAGGAGAAGAAACCCCAATTTACCTGCAATGAAAGAAAGGTTGAAGAAGCTATTATTTCTGCTATGCTGTGTTTATATATATTTATTAAGTGAATGTTAAGTAAAGTAAAACACAAGACAATTCTTAAGCAACCTGTTCCTGTACAAAGTAGGCAGATACCTGTACGTGCAGAATGGGCACAGTATCTTTCAACGACCTTCTACACAACCTAAAAGGTGCGTGTGTCGCACTTGACATATTCGGTAACAAAGGGCGCTTATTGGTCTATTTCATATTTGTCCCTTAACTTTTGTTGACTTCTGGCGTCATCGCCGCTTTGCTTTGATATTGTAATGCTTGTCTTTTACAAGCACAAACATATTTTAGCTGCTGTGCACTACAAAATCACAGCAAATAATGGCAGCGTTAGCCCAAAAAAAAAATAAACAAAATATAGGTTGTTGGGTCGCTTATCATAGCCGATTCCAAATTGAAGTTTCTCAAATCCTCCGTTCATGTTTAAATGTCATTGACATATGGCTTGAAGTATGAAATCATTTTTTTTGCCGAATTTTATGGTCTAATGGCAAGCGTCAAAAGTTCAAGTAGTACTTTGAAGCTCTCAAACAATTATTAAATATTTTTAGGAAGAAAAAAAGAGTTTTTTTTATTGACATTAACTTGGACATTATCTTTTTACTCCGCAAATTAACTTGAATAAGATTACTGATAAACGCTGGAATCTTTTTGACCACCTTAATTAATGTAATATAATATCTTGTCCTACAAACTAATAGCTAAATGAAACATAAAAGTCAAATGCACAGCATTTTTGTGTGGCTTGTGGAATCTTAATTGAGTTTGATTAATGAAGAATTTGTACTGTATATTTGTATAATCTGTTAGGTAGGTTAGGAACTAAGAAGTCTGAACATGTCGCAAATTCCCAAACACTGTGCCAAAAACCAGCTTCACAGTGAAGGTCTACCTTTGCCAGGAATCGCAGCATCATTAATTACGAAAACCAATAAATGTATCGGACACCGTTTAAGTTAGGAAAGTCAGCCGCAGGCCGAAAATAAGTTGTCATCATTAGTTTCAGTTACGCATACAATTTCGTCATAGTAACCAAGCCTGGAATAAATTTGAAAAAGAGGGCCCCAGAAGAATACTTGCGTGTCAGATGGTTGAATGACAAGCACTAAAACAACGAAGGCATCTCAACTAATTTAATGTTTATGTTTTTAAACACATCTCAAAAACAACCCTTATTAAAAAAGCTCTGCCATTAATCATTATTGTATAAACATCAATTGGTATTTAAAGTGTAGCAAAAACAGCACGCAAGAATAGTAAACGTTAGTCCTGGGTAGAACGCCTTACACAATCAATGGGCCGCTCCGTCGAAAAGACGTAAAATTGAAAATTAGATTTTTCGTGAAAAAAATGATCAAGTATAGAAATGCAAGCCTTTTCAATCAGCCACTCAGGGAAAAGTACATACCTTGTATATTGCAGAATGCTTTGATATGTTATTGCTAACATAGTATAGTCAAGGGTGAAGAGATAAATACTATTCTACATATACATTTTTTCATTTCCAAAACCATATATTATCTCAAAGTTATGTCTTATTGTGGGTTGATTGGCTTTGTACAAAGAAGTCGTATCGTCCATGCCCTTCAAGACCGGTCGCTTGCGACCATTAATAATTTTTAGCCTCAGATGTATCTTTGACTTAATATTATCCAACTCTACATTTTATTTATAAACATATACATTGATAATTTATTTTATTCAAGTGTTCAATGTTTCCATTCGCATTGGTCCGTCATTGTTGTTTTTTTATTATTGGCTAATGTCTTTTATAATTTCCAATAATTCTAAGCTCTCCCTGTAAGCGTAATATGCATATAAAATCAAATTTTTTTTACACATATTCGGTAATGTTAATTTAAAGTTTAGATTCATTGTGGTTATGTGGCGGCTATGTTGCGCTTTCATGATGGCGCACACAAATTTTTAAGTTGTACTTTTTATGAAAAATGTCGATTTAAGAACCCACATTAATTGGGAGACTGCTCTGTGGAAATTATCAATTTATTTAATGCAATTTAGGGCAGCTAAGAGCGTCGAGTCAATTGATGCTCTTAGGCACAAAATCTCGCACGAATAAAAGATTCAGAAACAAAGGGTACACAAGTGGACAGACACAGTGGCGTGTGTAAATTGATTTCAGGGCACGCCTTTGCACCCAGCTAACAGTGTGAAATAACTCAAAAGTCGACATGATGGGGAGACAATCCCAAAAATATGTTTGGAACCAACATTGAGGGGTGCCACTGTTTCTGCTTTCAAAATGCATTCCCAGGCCAACAAATACACAACACACATTCTTGAGCTGGCAGCTTGGAGTGTTATGTGAGTCTGAAAATTTTGTTTGGATGGGTGATTAACATATGGTGAGGGCAACAACACACAAACACTTTGTTTCTGTTGCTTAGCTTATGTAGTCTTTTTGGAAAATTGTATATAACACTAAGTGAGGGGTGCGCTGTTTTATAACAGGCAAGACAAGTTTTAATTTTTCTATAAATAATAAGAAGTATTTTTACAACAAATTAAATTAATATATATATATATAATAAAGCGCAGACCGTGACGAATGATTCAGCCCATCTCTGAATCAGCCCAAGGAGTCATCGTCATTAATATTCGCTTATCACAGCTGCATGGTAACATATCAGACGCCACAGGAAGTTAGCCACAATGATCCTCGGTTCAGTTTTAATCTTTTCGTTCTGATAGCGGCTAATGTGGCACGCCCATATCATTTATGAGGCGTCGAATGGCTCACAACAAATATATAAACAGCCAGTGAAAATAGTGAGAAAGATTGTTGGCTGAATGGGAAAGCAATATCATCTCGCCAGCATTTGCTGATTGTAAGCAAGTGTCAATACAGCAGCCGCCATATGTTAACAGCCGGTTTGATTTTGATTTCGTAAGTGGGTCTATTAGTTGAGCGGGTGCGTCTGCAAAACAATTTGCTTTTATTAAAGTGGGCACAGTATTTCCATCCATCGCCTTTACTATGCGTCCATTTGTGATATTCAAAAATGAAAATCACAGCTCTCGCTCTTTTTCGCCTTTTTGCTGTGACATAATGAAAAAGGCATTATTGGAAAAAAGGTTCTTGCATAAATCGTTGACTGACCACAGTATTTATTGATTGCAATCTTTAATTTTCCGTGGTTGAAAAATATAGGTTTTCAGCCCCGATTTGAAGTTCTGCGCAAGGTATCTTCGAGTCGAACACCATCCCAAGCACATTCTTCAGTTCTATTTTATTTTTTAATTTCGACATGCTTATATACCATTTTTCATTTTAGCGCGCTTGCTCTCGATTTGTAATTAATATGTAAGTACTATGGACTTGATGTGTATGCCAGCCAAATAGTTTACTCCGCCTCACGTCGTGGCTTAATTACAGCCAGTTAGGCAGGTGATTAAAGAACTAGCATCGGAAACATGTTGACAACTGTCAACTGTTTTAACATTGAGCTGCTGTTCTAAACCACAGCACACAAATAAACGCATTTCCCTGTTTATGCCTCTGTCCCTCAGCACCCTAGTAAATAAGGACTGTCAGATGAGCAGGGCCACTGTCGCCGCTATGTCTAAACATGAAAAACAACCCCGTAGGTCCCCTTCTTATGCGTCTGCCATTAAACCAGGCAGTAAGCCCCTCGCTTACCATTCAAAGTACGACGCATTTACTTCTTGATAAATAATGTACACGATATATATACATTTATATATTATGGGGTCGTACGTATGCGTACCATTTGGGTTTGTTTTATGATGCAAATTAGACAAAATGGCAAGTGTGCCAAATTTAAAATAAAAATTCTACATTTTTAAAGAGAAAAAAGTTTATTATAGAAGGCTGTTACGTGTTGTTTCTTTTTTCCCATCTCTTGCGCAAACATTTGCACAAGACGCTTGCACAAGTGTTGTTTGCGCAGAGAAATAAAAAACAATTTGTATTTATTTACAATTTACATAAAAATAAAACAATAACTGTGCAATTGGCTGTACAATAAAATTGTCTATTTGTACATTTTTGTTTCTCTGTCTACGTTTTTCGCTTAAACGACTCGTATATACATATATTCACATACGTATGTATACGGTTGCCTGTGTAACCAGCACGTGGCGCCTCAAAATGTGCAAATTAGTTGTCAAACCGAGTCCGGTGTGAATATTTGTTAATTGAAAAGGATTAGTTACTGCCACAAGAATGCTAATACATCGTAGCAGTAAGTTCTCTGCACATTTTGGGCCAAATAATAAATATTTTTAGTGTATAATAGGGAGAAAAGAGATAAGCAGAATCGAACGAGAAGTCAAAGATTCCATAAAAAATTGACTGTAACACAACAACATAGAAAAGGATTCATTAGCTTCATATGCACACATGTATGTATGTATTCTATGACTAACTGATAAGAAAAATTACTCGAGGAAATGAGCAGCAAACCACTTAGCACACGCGTACACAACCAAACCCATATCCGCCTTGGTTAGCAAAAAAAAAAAAAAACAATCTCTGAGAAAAAAACACAACTGTAATTAATACGAAACATATTCACTCATTACCAGGAGACTTTATCAACGAACCCAAATCCTTGAGCACGAAAAGAACATGAGGACAAACCACAATCGTTGACGGTGACTGCTGACTACTGATAAAAGCGATTCTCTCATCCCACCAGATATACATACCTTCTGCATCTGTTTTTATCCAGAAGAAACATACTAACGTAGCTGAATGCTCCGCATAATAAGGCGTGGGAGCTGTCAACTTGATTTATGACTCTAATAAATACAAGTTTATCGTCTAGCAACCGAGCATACATAATTGTACAACCAATTAGGAACGCATATAATTCAAACTTAAAGCATTAATTTAAAGAAATATTTTAGCAAAAAATCGCATGTACACACATGTATATTTCTAGGATTTAGCTGAATCTCGAGGCTCGACTTGGCAGCTATAAATTCCTACCTTTTCAAAATCAAAAGGATGCTTGTATGAGAGAAGTAAGAATCAATATTAGAAGTGTTAGCTGTGTGTCCTTGTGTTTAGCTTAGCACTGGTACTAGATGACAGTTGCTGCAGCTCCCAACGGCCACTTTTGCATATGAGCGGTAATTGCAATTCAGTTTTGTGCAATTTCTGAGTTAACAGTATGGAACTGAACCATGTCCATATTGAACTTGAGATTCGTTTTAATTCAGTAGTAGGTTGAATATTGAGCTTTTGGTGTAGCATAAGGGCTGTTGATCCGTGTGGGAATTGTATGTCGCCCCAACAACTGTACAAAAGCGCGAAGTTTTAAGTTGTGCCAGTGCTGGTGCTTTTGCTGTTTTTAACTGCTCTTAAGTTTGTTAACTCAAACACATACCATTGCAAAAAACGGACCAATGTGGCGTAATGCTTTTGGTTTAATTTGCAACCCAGTTAATGAGTAACACAAATGCACATACGCACCTCAAATCTGCAAATAAGTATGTACACACATGTTTCAGCATATGCATAAAACGGAACACTGCTACGTTCACAATAACTGCCTAGGCATCCACACAACTATAAAAGACAGGTCCCATACGCACAAGCACACGAACACATTCAGATAGTGTATATATGAGTGTGCATATTTGATGATTAATTGCAGCCAACATGATAAATGATTAGGGGTGATAAGAGTAGCAACGGCAAGCGCCACTCAAAGAAGTATATAGAAGCTAAGGGTAGGTAGTAGCACGCGTGTTTGGAACTATCTCGGGTATCTGGTTTGCTTCTAAGATGTCGTAGCAGTGGCAATTCAGACTGCTGAGTTTAGCTGCCTTGCAAGTATTTAAGGCGCACAGGCGCATAGCCCTCACGTTTTGGGCCACGTTGAGAATATTTTTCGCAATTGCACGTATTTGGGATTGCCTTTTCTTTGTATTTGTTGGTTTGGGTTGCCTCTGATGTTCAAATAAAAAAAAAAAGTTGCCTCGTATTCGTTAGGAACCAAAGGACTGCTCGACATCCAAGAAGGAATTCGTCGGCGACGTGTTAGTCAATGATGTGGGTGCTGAAGTTGTTGCTGCCTTTAGCTTATTATCTTTACGCTTATATGTGTGTGTCACATAATATGTGGGCATCTGTCTTCATGAATTTAACATTTCCAAAGCCCAGCATTTTTCTCTCCCTTATTTAAGTTTCTTCCTCTTTTTTTTTTTTTCTAAATTGGTACGTGCTATTTTGAGTTTGTTACATTTTTGGTGTGTAAAAAGTTAACTGCTGATTGCATATTGTGTGTAAGGATGGATGGGGATAGGATGTCACAACCAATCGCAGACTGATTTCGACACTTGTCTGCGCCAAAATGGAAAATAAAAGAACATCGAAATGAATTTATAATAAAATAAGGCTACACAACTCACGAGATATTTCTAAACGTTCACGGTGAAGCAGAATTTTCTTACAAGTTGTTGGCATATATTTAAATTATTCCCTAATGCGATGTTTTCTTGGATGCATGTGTGAACAAAGCATAATTTTACAGTTACACAAATAGGTGCGGATGTTTCTTTGCATACAGATAATGATACATATTTAGCTTATATTGTTTATCTTTGCCACAGTTAAAACAACTGCCAGCTGTCTAATTGCAGACAAGTGTCCGAGACAAATAGCTGCGTCCAAATATCGCAGCGTACATATCACAAACAATTTGAATAGAATACAAACACAGCAAACGCACCAAACGGAAGTACTCGGAAGTCAACGGGAAATAAGCAAAACATCCGTCGTATGCAGTATATTAATTACAAAGCGATTCCTTTTGGTGAAAATTGCTTCAAATGCTTTTAATTTTATTTTAATTTCCAAATATTACCAAGCGGGAGAAAAATGCATTTAACTTTGTTGCATTATTTACCTGCGTAGCAATTACGGATAGGATGCATGTAAGCATATGAAGTATACACAATCATGCACATAGTCTAGATTCATATTTCAACTTAGACTCGAGAAAAGAATGTTCAAAATTTTTCGAAAGTGTTTTCAGCAGTTTTCAACGCATCGAATTGTTTAAAAATAGTTGTGAATTCAATGAGGCATCTGAAAATAATTAAAATAAATTTTATAATCAAATAAAATGTTTGAACTATGTTACGAATGTGCTATATAGAATGTAAACAAATTCAGGAAAAGAAATGTGGTACGTTGTTTAAATACCAAAATTTAAAAGCTTAACTTTTTTCTAAGATATACAACAGTGAGCGCTGGTGGAAGGCATTAAACAGTATCTGCCTTATCTCTTTGCATGCCAATGAATTACGACTAGTGTTTGACATAGCCCACAAACGGTCAAGCAATTTTTTTATGCGTCACATGATGATAAGGCAGTCAACTTAACATTTTTGCAAAACAAAAATAAATATAAATGCAAACAAAAATAAATATAACAAGCCGAACCGCCAAGTCAGCTGTGGCTTCTGATAATTCAAAGTTTTGGTGATCGGCTTTATCACAGCAGGGATAAATGTTAAGAGCGAAGTTAAATTCATACATTAGCACAGTAATTCATACGTACATATATAAATGTGTATGTGTGTACATACATATTTTTTTTATATTTACATATAATTCAATATTTGCCAAATGCTTATGCACCTACGTATAATACACATGCGTAATTGTATATATACTCAAATGATAACCGACAGCGGCGGCGTCTGTTTATTTATGATCTATCTATCTATTATCTATTTTTTTAATGATTTAATTTTTTGCATATTGTTGAAATATTTGTATAAAGCAAATGCATTGACTTATATAAATATTGTTTATACATATTATGCATATAATATTTCTGTGCCGTATACACTGCTTTAATTTTTTTTTTCATTTAAAGTAATGGCGTAATCATAATTAATGTTATTTTAAACTCACCCACAAGTAGAAACAATTGCTCAACATATAATTCCCCCCGTAAAGACCTTCAAAACCAAAGATAAAATAGCTGCTCCTAAGGCATTAAATTTAGGTATGTATATAAATTATTAGCACATGTAGGTTTGACGTCAATTATAAAAATATAGGAAAATCTCACGTATAATAGACACTTATGCATTACATTTATACGGCGAGCTTCTATAATTTGCAATTTGCTTAAGCAAATATTTGTATATGGAGATTAACGAGTCTCGCTAAAACATATACTTTGAAATCGTTTCGATTTTTTGCTCTTAATATTGCAATGCTTATAGTTATCAAAAAACTGTATTTAGTATGGGACACACGATTGTCAGGAAAATAATAATAAATAACAATATAATAATCCTTTTTATTTTACATCTTCACTCACCTGTTGCCATTGATCCTCAATCGATGGCTGCGATGAGAAATAGCCAGTTGTGCAAATGCGCTCCAGTTCGTTGAATATATTCCCACTCGGTAAAATATCCATCTCGAGATCGTCGTCCTCAGTGGAAAAAAACTCCAAAGACTCCGTGATGAAGCCGTCCTGGTTTCTCTTTAGGGTACAAAATAAAACCAATATTGAGTACGCTATCGCGCTGACTCTGCGACTTTCTGTCGTTAATTATAAACGACGACAAATTCTTTTGCAATTTTTTGATTCGCACTCGATGCTAAATATATATATTTTGAATATTTTGATTTAAATATTGATTTGATTAGAGGTATTTCTGCATGACAATTGGCTTGGCTTTTACTTGAGCTACACTTGACAGCATCTTAACACACGCACATACAAAAAGATAATGATACAGATAACAAATATTTTGACACCTATTAATTTTGTATTGAGGTTTTTTGTATTTTTTTATAATTATTTTAGCAAATTTTTGCACATCATTTTTCTGGAATATTAAAGCGAAAACTTTTTTCAAATTTATTTGTGCTATTTTTTAATACATTTTTTAATTGCACACAATTTTGAATGGGTATTCCACAGTTGCAGTTGCTTGGAGCTGTAATATAAAAAAGACAATAATTATAATAAGTATTATTATTAATGATTAATATGCAGATAATATAAGGAATTGAAAAAAAGTGTTAATTCTCTCAATCATATCTATTTAATATCTAACTTAAAAAGAAAACACAATTTGTTTCTAGAATATACATTTTTCTGTGTGTAAAAACCAAGTAAACGAAACCAATAGTCATTTTCCCTTCCAATGAATTACCCTTGCATAAATTGTATGAGAATACTGTTAACATACATATATACATATGTATAGCCCACGAATAAGCATGAACCAAAATATTAAAGTGTACAGTGTTTTTTTTTTTTTAAGTTATAGTTTTTCATAGCTATTTAGTTTTATAGTATAGTTTATATAGTTATAGTTTTACCTATGCTCAACAGTTTTCACTATCATAACCAAATTTTAGGTCAGTAACCCCATTGACTGGCATACGCATACATACATGTTGGGACTGTCGCGTTGCGGCTCAAATTATTAGTGTTGTCGTCAACAGTACGGAGCACCAGGCACCGGCCTGAAACCCTGAAAGGTATCTGCTGGTTTATTAGCCTGGATCGAGTCGTTTCGGTTTTGGTTTTGGTTTCGAGTTTGGGTTCGAGTTCGGCCTCTTCTATATGTTGTATTTTACTTTAATTTCTAAGCGCTTTGTTCGTTTCTCCCTAGCTGAGCAACAAAATACGGCAACATTCGTGGCTCGTTTTGTTGTCGACTTTTTTTTTACCTGTTTTTGTTCGCTCTTTTATAACGTATCTCTCTTTTTTTCTCGTGTTAACTGAAAAAGAACGAACGCGCAGTTGAAGTGGCTAGCAACCGTTTGAGTTGATTTTAGTACAGTTTTGTGTTTTTATTTTGTGTCTGGTTTTGTTTTTTTTTTGAACTACAGCGCATGGCTTACAACGCCGAACGACTCTGGGCCTGGTCACTCAATTTGGGCATGGAACTTAAGATGCATTTTATGATCGAAAAGCAGATTTATTTACTGTCGTTGCTTTTTAAATTTTGTGAAAACTTGGGTAACCGTCGCTCTAATTTACACATTCTCCGGGTGAGTGCCCTCCAAAATCAAAAGTACATTTTTTTTTCATATTTTCCTCAATTTTGTTTGATACTAAAAAAAAAAAAAAAAAAAAAAAAATATTTTGAAAATATAAGGCTACTACGTTTAGTTTTTGGGCCCATTCATAAGACTCGTCTTGCCATGTAGGCCCTGTGCATTCGCCTTGTTGGTGGGCAGCTGATAACCCACTTTCAGTTTTCTTCAGCGAAATCAAAGAAAGGTATTCGTCGCCTATTAACTTTTCAGATGAAGGGTTTCAACACAAACAATAACTATTTCTATAACTACTTACAACTTAACAAACATTTAAATTATCATACCCACGCGTTAGCACCAAAGTATTTATTGCCCACATGTTTTAAACTTGCACGCAGACTTTTACACAGGTTTTCCAACAGACACGCATACACAAACACTCACAAATGCAGCCTCACACGCATTTCGATGCTCTTCTCGTATACCCTTCAATCAGCAACTTAACATGAAAAATAGCGGCGCGACGGAGGCAGGGTTACGCTCACGTCCGCTTGCAGCCTACGTGTGTTTTAATATACTTCTCCTCTTGCTGCTGATGCAGCTTTGGCTATTATGATTGAGCAACAGTAAGTATCGTCAGCGACGTAGCAATTTTCACGAACCTGGCCCTTATTATACCCTTTGCACCTTTAACTTTACTCATTTTAATATAAAGGGTGTTATTTTAATAGCACAGTCCGACAGTGGTAAACGTGATCTTGACGGCATATCCAACCATATTAGGTCTTCCCAACGACAACAACAGCATTAACACCATTTACACGAAATTTGTTCTCTGAGCTTGATTTGTATGGTATGCCACTGCTATGCCCACTTGCATTTGGACTCTCCTTATTTCTCCTTATTTCCCTATGCATTTAAATTTTTTTTATATGTTGTTCGCTCCAATATAACTCTTTCACATTGTTTCACCGCTGCGTAATATTTCCTGCTCAGCTCATTTTTACCCTGGGGCAATCCCGTGCTGTCCTCCCCCACACAACATACATATCAACACTTTGTTCATTTCACACGTGAATTGCCTTAAAATAAAAAAAGAAAACTAATGGAAGCAAATATTCATTGCTGCCTATTTTTACGGACCTTTTGCTTGTTGCTGACTGCCTGTTTGTTTGTTTGTATTGCATTTTTAGTGGAATTTTTCCAAAGATAAACCATCCAACCCATAATACAAATCTTATAACCATCGCAATGTAAAATATCGGCTATAGAATATTATATTCCAATGCTATCTCTTAACGCGGAGTATTTTCTCCAGTATTTTCTGACTTGAAATGATACCATTCATTGCTGAAAATGTGTTTAACCGCTCTAAAGCCAAATTCTTTTAAAGTATTATTATATTCGATGTGAATATACATATCTTAAAATTTTGAAATTGTCTACACAAAAGATATTCAAGAAGTGTGTATTCTGTCTGCAACATGTAGAGCCTAAGACTACCCGGACGTATGTATATATATGTATACATTGTATAAGTATCTTTCGCGTCATTTATTTGTAGTTGCCAAATTGTGTGTGTTTATAAACAAAAGGTTATTTGTTTTCAATTTTATTTTTGGTACAGTCAAATAATATTAATAAAGACCACACGTTAAATTAGGCGATAGTTGCTGAATTTGGTTTGCGACCAGCGAATTATATTGGTATTGTTCTTGCTACTGTTCTCGGAAAATACACCGTTTAAATGTTATTAATAGTACCCAATCTGCATTATAGCCTATAGCGCACGCTTGACAAATCGAACTGTAATTTTACAAGCAGGTGCAAATTACTAGGAGTGCAATATTGGTGTCAGTATCTATATCAGAATATACTTGTAGTACCAGGAACCTCTGATATTATTTGTTATTTATTTTTGATTGAATGTAAAAAGAAACCGCCTGCAAGTTGAGCCCAACACAAGCAACGGTTGATATAATCATAAAACAAATGTGGCACTTGTTTTGCCAGATATACCCCATAAGCATTGTATATAAGCATATAAGAATATTATATATACATATGTACTTATTTATTTTACTGCGCTTCAACAGCCGCACAAAAATTGAAAAGAAAAAAACTGCTGGTGGCATGAATCAACCGCATTTTATATTTTCTGCCTTCGCTACGTGATTTAATATTAGCAAACTACCGAGTAGTTCATGCAAATTGCAAAGTTTTTTTTTCTTACAATAATGAAACAACAATAACAGCTTGAGAAGTTAGTTATGGTTGTATGGCAAATGATTAAACGCTGGGTCTGAGGCTCCTAATATTTTTAGCGTGAGTTTCGCGGTCTATCCGCTGAGTCACTGTGCGGTGGTGGGAGGTTGTAAGCACTGCTGATGGAAAGAGATGCAAACACTAATGCATGCTCAGCTCTTTAACCAGTAAATGTGCCTTAAATTTGTACTCTTTCCATGAGATTTAGTTTTGCGTACCTCTTGAAGTTGTTGTTATGGTAGTCGTTGCTGCTGCAACACTTGTTACTTTGACGCACTTTTGCGCAAAACTTGTTTGCACACAAATACACTGCGGCACACACACACATCAAGGAGACGAAGATTTGACACAGCGAATGCCGAATGCCGACAAACAACAACAAACTCCGCGAATCGTTTACACTGCAGACTTTAAGCGAGGAAATGGCGATAAGAATTTAGTTTGCGTTAACTTTGCAATTATTATTTATCCATTTTGCCTTGCGATCCAAGTGTCGACGAATTTTTCGCTATTTATGTGATTTTCTATTTACACTGCAAACGTTTTCACTTTTTATTTGCTTTTTACTGGTGTTACTCTTCTACAATGATAGTTGCATGTATCACCGTATAGTCATAGCTGTTAAAATTGTCGTTGTTGCTGTCTGTTTTATCAAAACATGTTGTCGTTCACTTATTTCTTATCAAAACTTTGTTTACACCACGCACACAAATAACCCATACGGAGCGACGCATTAAATCCGCTATAAGTATAAAGCACTGGCTATTTTCCGATCTTCACGTTTCTAGCAACTGCACAAGTGTATTTCGTTTTGTATGCACTTGCTGCTTGATGAAAAAGACGCTGCTGCTACTGTTGCGGCGACGGATGCGGCTGCTGTTGTTTGTGATAACTGCGCTTGCGATTCCGACGCACGCTGAACCGTTAACGTAACCGGTAAAAATTAGACTGTTGCTGCTGTTACTCTCAGAGAACCACAAGTGCAAGTTAAGCGACTATTAACAGTGGCATGTTAAGAACAGAGAGTCAATCTGTAAGTTAGCAGAGCACATAAGGCGCTCAGAGACTACAATTGTACTCTTGGTCTCTCTACTGCGACGTACGTAGCAGTGAGCAAACTCACCACAGCAGCGAATTTAATGTCGGACGTAATCGTCAGAAATAAAAATTCAAGAGTGAATACAAGCGAAGTGGTGAAATTGATAACAGTCAGTTAATATTAACATTCGCTGCTAAAAAAATTGTGCGTTATACATACAAATGGGACCGCTGAAAAAAACATAGCAGACTATGCTTTCATTCTTGATCATCTTAAACATCAAAGTCGATCTAGCCTTGTTTAAATCTGGCTACTTAGTTGAAATATGCTAAGGACTTCGTGTACAGCGCTCTTTCGTGTACAGCTTTTTTTGCATTAATCAGAACAACAAATGAATAAAACCTAATAAAATATCATCCACCAACAATACGCAATTAACCTAACACAACCAATCCACATAAATTTAATTATTGATAAACATATATGGTTTACGACGGGAACTGTATGGCCATGTGGGCTACGCACTGTCGTACATATCCTACACTCTCCAAAAACGATGACAAGCACAATGTTGAGACAAATGGCAGTTGGAATTATTGCAAATAAACTATACGTGCATTGACGATTTGACATATTGTTGTTGTGCCCTTCTCGGCGGAAGTCGCACAAATCCGTAAATGGCACAAATTATGGCATGCCAAAGCGCGCAGCCATAGCTTCAACCCAAGAGCCATGTAAGGAACACATCGGCGTGCAGAATTGTCTATTATCGGAAACGTGCAGCCGAGTTCCTATGCCTTATAACACGAGACCGGTCAAAATATTTATGAAGATATTTGTAACATATGCGATAACGGTTTTCCTCTCACTTTGCCGGTGACTTAATATGAACCACACTAACCTGACATTCTTCCGATCGAATGCCGATGGCCAAAATAAGAAATAAAATAAAAGTTATATTAATATAAAGATGGGCTACGTGAAAATCCACTTGCCTTTTAAATTAAAAGGTTTTGTTTCACATTTGTATATAAAGAAATTCAACTGCGCTTAAATAAAGATTTAGCCGTTAAAGAAATTAAAAATTCCAGGAAAAAAAAATAAAAAGGAATGTTTCAGTCGGAGTTGAATGATTTTCCGATTTTGTGCGACTTTCGGCACTAATTCGATAAATATATTTATAAGACTTTGGGAATATCGATTTTCGTGTTATATATTTCCCTTGCTTCTAGAACATTTAGACACTATATCTAGCTACGATTGAGACCAGAAAATAAATGTGTTTACAACAGACAACTGCATCCCTTTTCAGGCAAAATCAAAGGCCCAAAAGAATAAGATAATTGAAGTCTACATTTTTTAATAAAGAAGATCATTTGTTTGTAGGCAATTGATTAAAATAACGGGCATGCCATTTTGATAGAAATCAAACATTTCTACAATAATTAAACTAGTTGCAGGATGTCTCATTACCTACCTATTTATTTTTTTGTTCTAAAGCTGGTCTTACGGACAAAGCGAAAAACTTTTTATGCATGTAAAGTAGCACACAAATGGACGGAAACTTTTGCATGCCAGGGACTCATCGTAGAGCGAGAGGTACAAGGAAAAAACGGCTAGCGTTAATACCATACCTTTCAATTTATTTATAATTTACGTGGTAATATTTTTGGACCAAAAAATAAAGCAAAGACCAAAAGGGAATAGATGAAAGCATAATACATCCAAGGGGAAGGCGGAAAGTGTAAAAATGGCAGAGGCAAGTGGCAACATAGCACATAGCACAAACAACAGGCAGATCACAACGGCAACGAGACGCATATGAATTGGAAACTAATCGTGGAATCTATAAAGAGCATAATTATTTTGCATCTCACAATAATCATTATGGCTATGTGCGCATAAAGTAGGCGAGGGAAAGAAAAATAAATAGAAATATGACCGGGAACAGTTTCAAATTTATTTACATATATGTTTATGTATTTGGTGGAACGTAAAGATATTATGAATCCTTTTATTCTGTATAGCTTACAACTTTTTGTTTTAGTATTAAATGTATTGAGAAACATCACTCACTAGCAAGACACTATGATGACCTTGGTTAAATTGAAATTATGAGGCCATGCACCCCAAAATTGTTTAAAATGGGAGACAAAGTCCCTGGATGCTAACCGGGGGTAACCAATGACTAAATGCCAATACCTTATAAGTTTTAAATATTTAAATATTAATTTTTGATGTTGCTGTATATTTTATATCAATGCACCATGTCGATACATGCAACCCAACCCCCTCATTTAATACCGAGACTCTTTTTTATATTTACTCAAAATTTAGAGTCTTAATTACTTTTAATGGCCATTAATTTATTACGTTTGCAATGCTCACACTCAGGGTGTTCTTTCGCCGTTGTTTGATGTTTGTTGTTGAAGCCCCTTCTGCTAGTAAGCCTGTAAGTCATATCCCCTAAAAGAGAATACTCAACATGAGCGTTTGCTAAAAGTTACACTTTCTTCTGTCTTCACTTATATATTTCAATTAAAGTAGGAATTCAAGTCTATAAACAAGAAATATCTCTATCTCTTTAAAATGTCAAACCAACCTGCTTTTAATTGCGTGTAGTTAAATGTCGCGAACACAAGCGAACAAAATTTAAAGACAACACATGCTGAGGACAGCAAAACAGTTTGCAACACCTAAGGACAGTAGGTGCGTGACTTTGGCAGCTCTGGTAACCCTGATAGCAGAATTAGGAAGTTAGCTATGTGACAACTATTGGGTCATTATTTTGCGATTTTGTTATTCGAGCTGCAAAAAATTTCAACAGTCGACATGTCCAAAAATGCAGTAAAGAAACGATGAATAAGAATGGAAAGGTCAAATGGAATTTTAATGATATGAAATAAGAAGAAGCGTGCCACCTATCAGGATATTGTTAGGTAGATGAAATGCCCCCATCGTAGCACAACCGGCACTTGAAGTTCACTGCATGCTTATTTTTCACTCATTCAATATATTTTGGCTTACGGCGCAGGCGGAGTATCACGAAGAGAGAATTATAGAGAAGAGCGCGTGCTAAAACCGGCAAAGAAGTTAGAGGATAGAATGTACACAAAACAGTTTTACGAACCTTTCAAACTGAAATCAGCCCACCGAAAATACCAGATATAAAACGTTGCTTGATTTTCATAGCGTACATCACGTGTTTGGAGGCTCAAAATTATAAACAAAAAAAAAAAACAGCTCAGCAGCTATGCACACTCACTTCTACAAACTGCTGGGCCCACATTGTTTGATTACGGCGCCTGTTGGTATGCAACACAGTGTATGTGGGCTTAGCTTGTTTGTTTGCATGTGTTGATTGGCCAACTGAATGCAACGCACAGCGCAATGACCTGACCCGACGTATTCAAACGCTGACTCGTTTCTGTTTAGTGTAAACTCTGGTCGATACCTGATGACGACAGAAACACGAGAGGAGGTAATCCACGAATGTTTTTACAGATGCTGGCCATTGCCGATGACGTTGTTGGCAACTCGTTATATTTTGGCTCGAGTTGGACACTCGCAGTCACTCTACTTCGCTCTCCTTTTTGCGGGAGCTTAATTCACCGCAAAATCCTCGATATGAGCAGCTAAATTACGAGTTCCTTCCTTAATTGCAAACAGGAAGAAGCAGGAGACATTTTCGAGTTGAGTTGCTGTTGCAAGTACTCTTTCAAAATATCTTGTATAACAGTCAATGTCTCTTTAGCATATCTCTTTGAAAACTCTCTTAAATGTTTGCGATTTTTTATGGTACACACCGCGAGTACAGGTGACGTCACCTGCATGTTGACGCACACGCCGGTAGTGTAAACAAAACATAAAATATATCAATGGGTGAGTGAATTGTGGATAAAACAATAAGGACGGGTATGTGTATGTTATTCTGGCGGGCTTGATGAATGAAAATTTTGACAATGTTACGCTTGTTACTGGCTTTTTACTATGTGTATTACAAGCTACAGATTAGAATATATTTTATCAATCGTCCTAATATTTGAGAAAACTTGGCTATGTTCGAAAATTCAGATGAATCATATAAGTTTCCTTTTGTGTTTCAATACGCAAGTTTATATAATGCTTTATCATGATATCATAATATATACCTATATATATATAAGTCGAAAATATATATATAGAGGGTATACACGGGGCTTTGCTTGTGGTACGTAAAAAATAAATTCTCTAAAGATTTTTGAGAATCAATAAGTACTTAGGTAGAGCTTCCTAAAACAAGAATAATATTACCAGACTTAGATGTCAAATTGATCTAGAGGCCTAGCAATGAACAATGACCTAATCCTCGTGTCTATATAGTATATTTAAGTTTCCTATTTCCACATGAATTTTGGTTATCTAAAGAGTCAAGCCATGAACAAAAAGCCAAAGCTTATAAAAATCAGATGCGCTTTGACCGAGTTATGAAGGTGGGAAATTTTGATGTACAACATAAAAGGATATTTGAAAGTATTATTTTGACATGAATTTCGACCAAAAATAATGTTGCCAGATTTTGATACCAAATTGATTAAGAGGCAAAACCATGATAAAAAAGCTAAACTTTATGAAAACCGGTTAAGTTTTGACCAAGTTATGGGGTGGAAGTGTTGACCTATTTCTATATAGGATGATTTAGGGTAAAATTTTCATATGAATTTTGACTCAAAACAGTGTTTTCATACTTAGATGCCGAATTGATCTAGAGGACAAACCATGACTAAAAAGCCAAACCTTATAAAAATCGGTTCAGTTTTGACGAAGTTATGGGGTGTTATATGCTGACCTATGTCTATATTGGATATTTGAGGGTACAATTTTCACATGAATTTTGACTTAAAATAGTGTTGCCAGATTTAAACGCCGAATTGAT